ATAGATAGATAGATAGATAGATAGATAGATAGATAGATAGATAGAAAGAATGTGGTTTTACAATCCCAGAGAGATAATTGCCTGCCTGAAATCCATTGCCTTTTCTTGGCTTTAAGGACCAGTGGGATAAGATAGTGGATAATGCCTGAGAGGGTTAGGAAAATAAATTGGAGAAATGTGAGTTGAGGGAAGAAGCTCTAGAGAACATCTCATTCCTAATGGCTTTGCCATATTTGTTAATTTTTTAAAAAAAATCTCAAAATTCACAGAAACTTTCTAAAGTATAAAAATTCAGAGCGAATTTGTTTTACCGAGGGACATGGTGAATACTAGTATGTCTTAGAATGTGAGAGAGCTCATTCCTTCACACATAATTGTGGACACTCAGTGAATATTGTACTAATTTCCTCTTACTTTAGACTTAGGGATCTGTCTCTTCCATGTCAGTTTTTTCCATGCTAGAGAAAGAAAGGCACATATACTTAGAAGTATGAGCCTGTCTCTGTCTTGAAAAAAAAATTGTGATATTTTAAAGAACAGAGCCTAAAACAAACAAAAATAATTTCCAAAGGAAAAAACCTACTTTTTAAACTGATACATACATTTTATACTTCACACAGTATTTTGAAGTAGAGGTTCTGCCATGACTACTTTAGTGAATAACAAAAGATACTCTTCCCTTCTTCCCTCCCTTTTTCTTTCTCTCTCCTCCAGCCCCCAACCCATAGGCCCCCAGATTAATTATTTGAATCTGTTGTTGTTGTTGTGTACTGTAGAGTCAGAGCCAACCCATAGCTGACCCTCCGGCAGGCTTTCAGAGGCAGTTAATTCCACAGGAGGAGATTGCTCATCTTTCTCCCACCTTGAACTGTTACGTTCGGAATTGTAGCACAGCTTCTTGCCACCAGGACACCAGAGTCCTTAGAATTTATGTCAACAATTTGATTTTTTTCCCCACATGAAATTAGCTTTGTATTTCTTATATATAATAAAAATTCTCATGATTCATTCAAAAATATTTTTTCAAATTAAAAATTTTATATTTTACCTTGAGTATTTTCCCTTAGTGTTTTTTTTTAATCTGCACAAATTATTATAGTGGAAGAATATAAGAATAGCTAAAAGGAGAGGGTCAGAATTTGGAAGTTTATATCAGATACGATTTTAAAAAGAAAAATATATTCAGTATTATTTATTACACAGAAAATATTTCATTTGGAGTTTTTATTTTAGTTTTCTTCTAAGAAAAAAACTATTCTTTCAAGTTAATTTTTAACATTTTAAATTTTATGTTCTTTAATTTTGTTAATTTTATGCAAAGACAAAATTTAGAAAGTGAAAGACATTAAGGAAATGGAAAAACTGAATGCAAGAAAAGTATACATTTCTTAGACATGAATTTGCAAAATCAGTCTAGAAATGTATTATATTTAAGCATTGGTCCAGATTGAGAAAAGGGGCAGAGAATAATCTTGACTATACTGTGATAGTACACATATTAATAAATCAGAGTTAGCTATACTTCGGACTTGTTGTTATGCAACATCAAGTCAGAACTGACTAATAGCTGACCCTCTAGCTGGTTTTCAGGGGCTATAAGTTGTATAGGAGGGGACTGTCCATCTTTCTCCCACAGCACAGATGATGGATTTGATCACCTGCCTTTAGGTTAGCAGTGCACCTCCTTACCACTATGATCCTACCTCCCAAATTCAAACCTGAGCGAAGTGTAAAACTGGGCAGTTAAATCTTCTAGTGAAGTCTTTAAACTTTTAAATCCTTGGGAATAATTTAAAGTAGATAAGTTCTCTTTGTCAACTAACAGTAGTATGACGATTGCTTCAAAAAATTTACAGACACAAGAAACAATTGAGAAACTGGAGGAACATGCAGCTGATACTGGAGTTGTTAATGATAATGAATCCGAATCGGAATTGGAATCTGAAATTGAAGAGAGTTCCCAAAAAATGAAAGAAAAGAAAGAGTATAAGCAACTATTATCAGAAGGAATATGCATGACACAGACAACAGTGTCTTCTGGATCACTTTCAGATGAAGACCTAAGTAGTGCCTCAGGCCAGTCTAGGCATCAGTTCAACACTATTGAAGACAGTTTGTTGCAAGAAATCCTTAGATATGACAATAAGCTTGGTGGTGATGATCAACTTGAGGGTAAGGAAGTAGAAAATGAAAATAATGGTGGACACAGTCAGAATGATTCAGAAGACAAGGAAACAGATTCTGAGAAAGAAAATGAGCTGATAGGCCTGAAGAGCTTGGAGGATGAAAGGAAATATGAGGCAAATATAAGCAGTACACTTACTGAGGTCTTGACAAATACAGATATGGATACTGAGGATGAAGATCAAGATTTGGTCCAGGAATATAAAGGACACAAGCACCGTGCGGTGTTTGACCGTGAAAAAGAATTGATTGCGTGTTTTATGGAAGGTGAAATTGAAAAGCAACAGGATATAGCTGATGAAGTAGAACCACTTGAATCTGTAGAACGTTGTACTGGAGAGGAAGATGAATCTGATACTAGCAGTGACTCACCCCTGTGGTTTAACAGAAAATATGTGGAACAAGCACATGAGGAAGATGTTGAACATGAAGTATCAAATTTTATGGAAAAATTTAATTTCAAGAGTGAACAAATGTCAGAAATCCTGGAAGAGCAAGGAACTGATGGTTCTGAAAAGAGTGCTAAAGAGAAGGCTGAGCTAGAGGAAAATGAGGTACATGAAGAAAGAGTGAAGGAGAAAGCAGAAAAGCTGTCAGATGATCTTGCAGACGTAGAAAAGGTGAGTGAAGGCAAGAAAAAATTAGGGGAAGAGGCAGAAAATATGTGCACAGGTGAAAGTGATAGAATCTGTCCAGGAAGTAAATCAGGAGCAGAACAGAGGCTGAGTGAGGAAAAAGAAGTGAAGGGGGAGAAAAACAGAAGAGACAAGGCAGTAGGAATTAGAGAAATAGGGAGCTTGAGTAAAGGAGATAAGGGCCTGGGAAAGAAGGAATGGGAGGGGGAAAATAAGGAAGAAAGACATCAGGAGGAAAGAAAGAAGCCAGAAAGCGGAGAAAGGAAGGAGCAAGGAGAGAGAGGAAGAGAGGAAGAAGAGGAGGAAGAGCAAAGAGAAGGGGAGGATGAAGATGAGAGTGAAGAGCAGCCAGGAGTAGAAGAAAGGGCTGAGGGAAAAGGTGGAGAACAAAGAGAAGAGGATAAAGGGGAAGGAGATGGGGAAGAGGAAGAAGGGAAAGGTGAAGAGATAGAAGAGGAAGAGAAAGAGGGAGGAGAGGAAGAGGAAAGGACAGATACAGAAGGGGAAGACCAGGAGGGACAAGGGGAAGAAGAGGAAGTGGATGGACGTGAGCAAGAAAAGCCAGGGAAAGAAGGGGAAGAGCAGGAAGAAGAGGGAGGAAAGGTAGAAGAGGAAGGGGAAGGGAAAGAGGAGGAGGGAGAGGGAGATGAAGGGGAAGGGGAAGAGGAGGAGGGAGAGGGAGATGAAGGGGAAGGGGAAGAGGAGGAAAGAGAGGGAGATGAAAGGGAAGAGGAGGAAGGAGAGGGAGATGAAAGGGAAGAAGGAGAGGGAGATGAAGGGGAAGAAGGAGAGGGAGATGAAGGGGAAGAGGAGGAAGGAGAGGGAGACAAAGGGGAAGAGGAGGAAGGAGAGGGAGACGAAGGGGAAGAGGAGGAAGGAGAGGGAGATGAAGGGGAAGAGGAGGAAGGAGAGGGAGATGAAGGGGAAGAGGAGGAAGGAGAGGGAGACGAAGGGGAAGAGGAGGAAGGAGAGGGAGA